GCACTCCAGCCTGGGTGACACAGTGAGACTCTGTTTGAAAAAATATAAAAAATTAGTAAGGCTGGGCACAGTGGCTCACACCTATAATCCCAACACTTTGGGAGGCTGAGGTGGGTAATCACCTGAGATATGGAGTTGTAGACCAGCCTGGCCAACATGGCAAAACCCCATCTCTACTAAAAATACAAAAATTAGCTGGGTGTAGTGGTGCATGTCTGTAGTCCTAGCTACTCAGGAGGCTGAGACAGGAGAATCACTTGCACCCAGGAGGCCAAAGTTGCAGTGAGCCAAGATCACGCCATTGTGAAGCATGTGCATGCATGTTTTAGAGATAGAGACTGGTGAAACAGAATTATCACCCAGCCTGGGTGACAACGCGAGACTCTGTCTCAAAAAAAAAAAAAGGAAGTGCATGGTTAAATATCATAGATTTTATCCTTCCTTCTCTCTGCCTTCTCTAAATCTAGGAACTAGCGGAATTACTGGAGGAAGAAAAACTAAGTTGCGTGCCTGTGCTCATCTTTGCTAATAAGCAGGATTTGCTCACAGCAGCCCCTGCCTCTGAAATTGCAGAAGGACTGAACCTGCATACCATCCGCGACCGAGTCTGGCAGATCCAGTCTTGCTCAGCTCTCACAGGAGAGGGCGTTCAGGTGAGATTACAGGAAGACTTGGCCACCTGGCAACATGACAGCTAACTGAGGTGGTCTATCTCATTTGTTAGGCTGATCTTGATGGGTAGATGAGCCATTTCAAGATATGAAATGGAGAAGGGCATGGAGAAGTTTGGTTCTTTTCTGCTTAGCAACCAATCAGATATGATGAGGTGCTCCAAAAGAGCCACAGGTAAGCTGCCGCACATGTGCAGCAAGCTTCCCCACTGGGTAGGATGTGAGAACAGAAGACTGAAGATTGTTCTAAGTCTAGGATTCTTTGATGATAGATTGGATTGGGGTTTTGCGTTATGTCTAATATTACAAATGCTAAATGCCCATACTTCCAAGGTGATGGCCACCAAAAACTGTACATGTACTAGTTATCCTAGAAATGTTTTTTGTTTCTTCTGTTGGTTAGCTCCGCTGCCCCTAGGGTTAGTGTCTGTTTCCTGCTGCTTCAAGTTGGTTTCCCACTGGGAGGCTTCTGCTAACAGAAAGCCTCATGCTTTGTACTTAGGAACTGCGTACCAGCTCTCATTGCCCAGGCTGGAGTACAGTAGTGCAATCTCAAGTCACTGCAACCTCCGCCTCCTGGGTTCAAGTGGTTCTCCTGCCTCAGCCTTCCAAGTAGGTGGGATTACAGGCATGTGCCACCATGCCCAGCTAATTTTTTGTATTTTTAATAGAGATGAGGTTTTGCCATGTTGGCCAGGCTGGTCTTGAACTCCTGACCTCAAGGGATCTGCCTACCTCAGCCTCCCAAAGTGCGGGGATTATAGGCATGAACCACCCTGCCTGACCCTTGCTGCGTTTTTAAAAATCAAGGCCGGGCGCAGTGGCTCACGCCTGTAATCCCAGCTACTCAGGAGGCTGAGGCAGGAGAATCGCTTGAACCTGGGAGGCAGAGGTTGCAGTGTCGCACCACTGCACTCCAGCCTCGGTGACAGAGCGAGACTCTGCCTCAAAAAAAAAAAAATGATAATAATATAAAATAAATCAAATTTTGTCTTAACATATTTTACTCCAATTGCATGAGCCTGTCTAAAAGATTTAGAACACAAATTTAGAAAGCTGAGAACATCTTGGGATTGGGGGCTCTCATGAAGGTGGGGCTGAAGAAAAGCAGTAGAGCTTGTGTGCATGCTCATAAGAAAGTGCGAGTACAGCTCTGGAATCTCTCTTTTGCTTGACCAGAGTGTTGAAAGGAAGAAAAAGAAAGTCGGAATTAACAGTAAGCCTTTTATATCTTCTGCTTACGGATGTGAAATGGAGGACTAGAGTGATCAAGAATCAGTATTTAGAGTCGTGGCATTTAAAGTCAAGGACACTGCTTTAGAGAAGCCTGGAGGTAGAGAGGGAGCTGCTGTCACTTTCTTCCCAACCCCCAGCCCTCCCCCAACTCCCGGTTGGAGATTAAAGCATAGAGCTGTATGCTCCTACCGCAGACACTCAGTGCCCTTCACAGGATCTTTAGGCCACAAAAGAGGCAGCAAGCTACTAGGCAGCTAGAGGGTGGGGCTGGGGACAAGAAGGGGAGTGCTGCAGAATAAACCAGTTTGAGTGAGTAGAGTGAGATTACTGTATATGATTTGATTTTGATAAAGTTTTTCCCAGATCGGGGCCTTTGGCAACCAAGTTCACAGGAAGTGATACCAAGAGAGATCTAACAAAAAACTATGTGGAAAAAAATAACAATGATTTTTGCATGGAGGAGAAATAGTTTGAAGGTGACTTAATTAGTTTAGTAGATAGTACCATGGTGTATAGAATTGGGTAGTTAAGACTGGGATTTCAAGGTTAATGAGATTAGATTATGGTTAATAGAATGATATAAATTTAGAGAATTTAACCATTATTTGAAATGGGTTATTTAATAAAAATGTTAATTAAGAAGGGAATCTGCTGTCTATTGTCCTTTCCTGGTAACCTTTGGGGACTAGAGAAAGGTCGTGGAGTTTTGCTATGGAAATGCTTTTCGCTGTAAGCCACTGGCTGACTGTGTACCAACCTCCCTAAGGTGGTGCCTCTGACCCAAGCTCTTGTCCATGCACCAGCTTCCTGGTTTTTACCTTAAAAAGAGTCACTTAAGTGGAATTCCTTTCCAGCATTGCTTAGTTGAAGTACAGGCCTTCAGTGATTTTTATTTATTAGGGCTTAAAATATTCCTAAAATGAAAGACTTCACTAGAAAAGTGTCAACAAGATCTGATGGCTTCAGGTTTGCTTTCAAACATGAAAACTGTGCAATAATTACTGAAATGCCCTAAGTTCATATTTTTTCCTCCCACCCCAGTCTGCCCCCCAAAAGCTGGCCCAAAAAATGGTTAGGCTCTAAATAGGAAAGTCAGGTGACATGTGATTCTAACGACCCTGAAAGAAAATGTACAACAGTTTTTTTAAAAAAAAAAAAAAGGACCTGGAATTTCAGTTTCAGGTGTTTAAAGACAGCATCTCTATTTACATTGTACCTGTTTAATCAAAACGTATTCAAGAAACCCGTCTTGTGCTGCTGAATAACAGGCACCCTCACAGGGGTGAGTTAGGGAACAGCCACGCCCCCCTGTGGATGAAGTAGGGCAGGTACTTCACTTCTCATTAGTTGAGTAGCTTAAACACATGATTTGAGACTATGGATGTTAATGATTCCTGGGATGGATTTCAGGGTCCCGTTCCACCTGGCACATATGAAGCCATTACAGGGGTGGGAAACACCACGTGTTGTTCACCAGCCCCTGCTTCGGATGTGGAAATTGACTTTTGAGAGAGGATGGAACCAGGGTTTCTTGCCTGATCGGTGCTGACTGGGAGGCCAGCCCACTGTGTAGTTAAAGCAGGTTTTCGTGGGAGACCATCAGGAGTGGAGAGTCGGTAAAGGGCAGGAGAAGCGGAAGGAGATCATCAGTCTCGGAAACTCTGTCCTGCCTAGAGGCCCACTGTCCAGGGGACTGTCCAGGGGAGTGATGAGGAGAGAACCAGTTATGTCAAGTAGATGAAAGCAGAAAGAGGAGAAACTGAAAAATGTCTGGGAGGGAGAACCGAAACCCCCCTCAGCCAGACTCCATTATCAACATGGAGGAAGTGTCGCTCTGCGCCCTCGAGGTCAGGCCTGGGTTGCCAGGGCCCCTCCTGAGATGAAACATCCTGCATTGGGACTCTCAGTCTTTTGTTTTTCTCCCACCTTTGGGTGTCTAGAAAGTAGTGAACAAAGGATCTGGCTTAGAATCAGAGAAAGGTATCAAGAAATCCATCCTTCCTTTACCCGCAGACCTGAATTTGAACCCCAAACCTCAGCTTTTCCTGCTGTTACAGTTTCAGGCATTTGAAGACATTTTCTCTCTAAAATACTGTGAGTGTGTATGTGCCCATGTGTGTGGTGTGTGTGATTAAAATGATACTGGCTTTGAATTTCCTCTTGAAGAGATCCACAGTTTTAACCTGAGCTCAGCTGTGGTCACCACAGAGACTCGCCGCCTCCCATGGCCTTGAGCCAGCAGAACGTTCCCAGGGTGTTGCTCTCCAGGCCACCCCTCATGCTCCGCTTTTCTTGTGACATCTGCCCCACATTCCTCATCTCCTCCTGGCGACAGGAGCCATGAGCAGGTCACATAGGCCTTCAGCTGCCTCGCATCCACAGAAGGGACATGAGCAGCCCGAGCACTGAGCTGTCAGCCGTGCCTGAGTCGGCTTCCAGAGGAACACTAAATGCTTACTTGCCCATTTCTTGGTTTTGCTTCTTTTTCCTTGACTTGGGGGTCTTTTCCCAAATATGTCAACAGAATTTCAATTTTTTTTTTTTTGAGATGGAATTTTGCTCTTGTTGCTCAGGCAATGGTGTGACCTCGGCTCACTGCAACCTCTGCCTCCTGGGTTCAAGCGATTCTCTGCCTCAGCCTACCGAGTAGCTGGGATTACAGGCACCTGCCACCACATCTGGCTAATTTTGTGTACTTTTTTTTTTACTGGAGATGGAGTTTCACCATTGTTGGCCAGGCTAGTCTTGAACCCCTGACCTCAGGTGATCCATCCGTCTGAGCCTCCCAAAGTGCTGGCATTACAGGCGTGAGCCACTGCACCCAGCTGAATATGTGTGTGTGTGTGTGTATATATATATATATATATATATTNTTTTTTTGAGATAGAGTTTTGCCCTTGTTGCCCAGGCAGGAGTGCAATGGCATGATCTCGGCTCCCTGTAACCTCTGCCTCCCAAGTTCAAGCCATTCTCCTGCCTCAGCCTCCTGAGTAGCTGGGATTACAGGCATGCACCACCACGCCCGGCTAATTTTGTATTTTTAGTAGAGATGGGGTTTCTCCGTGTTGCTCAGGCTGGTCTCAAACTCCCAACCTCAGGTGATCTGCCTTTCTTGGCCTCCCAAAGTGCTGGGATTACAGGCGTGAGCCACCACACCCAGCCCAATATTTTTAAAAACGACATTTATCACTTCTGTCTAGGCCTGGCATCAGTTCTTATTGACTCCAGGTGTCCATGGAACTGCTTATCTGTGAGTCAGACCTCAGGTTTATTTTTAAATTTTCAAACCTTTCTGGAGACTATGAAAGCTGTCTGGGGACATGCGATTTTGCTACCTCTTTGGTGGTGCAATGCCCTTTGTCACCAGAAAAAAATACTAATAGCAAGCGATATTTGATGTACACAGCATCCAGCTGCTCCTTGACCCTGAGGGCCTGATGGCACAACGGGGTAGGCTGCATTGCTCAGCAAGGGTCCGAGCACCTCGTCATCTTAAAGCAGTTACTGCTGTGACCATGTAGCCAGCATAGCTCTAAAAGCCAGGCCCACCCAACCATGGCTGCCACTGCTTCTTTCCAACTACCGAGCAGTGATGGATGCAATGTACAGAGATCAAATTTAAAAGGGCAGCGCAGTCAGGGACCACTCCTCCCTTGGAAAGAAGCAGTGCACCATAACTCCTGGGATGCAGAAATCTAGGAGGAGTGTTTCCACCCTATGCTTAGGGGTGGCCTGCTGTTTCTCCCAGTGGTTGTAGAAGGAATAATATTGTGACATCGGGAACTTTATTGCCTCTCTAGGAGGCCAAACGAAGCTCAGTATTTGAAATTCCATGTCTCTCTTTAGCCTTTATTATTGAATTGAAACTAATCAATTCAAATTCAGTTTCAGCAAGATTGGTGAGGGGAGGGTCCAGGGAGGAAGGCAGGGAGGACTGTTCCTCCCTACCGTAAGATTGTCATCCCCATAGTGAAGATCAAATGTGCAGAAAATTGGTCAAACCAGTTTTTAACAATAAAGGTTCAACCATTAAACAAACCGATGAGTTCATTTCCTTCTTTAGAAGCAGAGCAGTAACCTACTTCAAGTAAATGATCACCTTTTCTCAGTTGTCTGTTTAAAAAAAAAGCCTTCCTTGCCAGATGAAAGCAAGAGTGGTGTGGAACATTTATTTAAACATAAGAAGCAGACGGTTCCTCCTCTTGCAAGTATGTTGTCTCTAAATGTAGCATTTCCACTGAAGATGGTGGTCTGGGTGGATGGTTAGTATGTGAGGATTGTGCAGCCAGGTAGATAGCCAGGCCTCCGCGTACACAGATACCCACAGCCCAGGAATCTTGAGAACGGATTGGCCCATAACAGCCTCTGGCACTATCAGAGCTGCAGCAAAGCATGCAGGTGGTTTGGTTGGGGCTACTCCAGCTTCATGAAATCATGAGGAGGATAAAACTAGAATTGCTCCCTTTCCTATCTTCAGGGTGCTTCTCAGCTCCTCTCTAACCTTGGGGCAGAGCCCTTTACCCGGCAGGTGCCCACATCCATGGAGAATTGGTAAGCAGCTCTGGAGTGCCATACTGGGCACCACAGCTTACCTTTGCCCTGCTCTGCCCTGTGCCTTCGTCTCCTCAGCTGTGATAGAGAAATAACACTCTACTTCACAAGCTTCTACAAGGATTGACTTAAAAGATGTGAATTGGCCAGGCACAGAGGCTCATGCCTATAATCCCAGCACTTTGGGAGGCCAAAGCGGGCAGATCACAAGATCAAGAGATCGAGACCATCCTGGCCAACATGGTGAAACCCCATCTCAACCAAAATACAAAAAATTAGCTGAAGCGTGGTGGTGCGTGCCTGTAGTCCCAGCTACTCAGGAGGCTGAGGCAGGAGAATCACTTGAACCTGAGAGGCGGAGGTTGCAGTGAGCCATGATTGTGCCACTGCACTCCAGCCTGGGCTACAGAGCAAGACTCTTCTCAAAAAAAAAAAAAAAAAAAGCAAATTGGCCAGGTGGTGGCTAACACCTGTAACCTCAGCACTTTGGGAGGCTGAGGTGGGCAGATCACAAGGTCAGGAGATGGAGACCATCCTGGCCAACATTTTGAAACCCCATCTCTACTAAAATACCACAAATTAGCCAGGCGTGGTGGTGCACCCCTATAGTCCCAGCTTCTGGGGATGCTGAGGATTGTTTGAACCCACGAGGCGGAGGTTGCAGTGAGCCGATTTTGAGGTACTGCACTCCAGCCAGGGAGACAGCGCGAGACTACATCTCAAAAATTTGAAAAAATGATGTGTATTAAGTGGGCTGTGGGCTGGACATCATGCTAGGTTCTGAGAATACAGCCTCCAGCAAGTCTGACAGGAAGCTCCCCTGGGGGAACCACCATTGCCTTTCGTTTCCAGGGGGCAGCTTGAAGCTCGCAGAGGTACCACTGTTGGCCACAGCCTCCCCTCCCCTCCCACCTCCATCCCAGTTCTCTTCTGGCTAGCACAAGAAAGGTGCCACTTCCCAAGTCCCAGCCACCTCAGATCAGAGGGGCCTCCTGGGCCCAGGGCAGCCACAGGACTTGGTCCCCTGTTTACGCTCCCTGTGCTTCCCACACTCAGGGTTGCAGCAGCAGCTGCAGGGGCCCAGGCCGGGAGTCAGCTGGCAGGGACTGGCCTCCACGCGCCCTCTGTTGGCAGGACAGTGGCTGGCAGGGCTTCGCCACGGCTGGCTCTCATAGGCATCTGGAGACACCGGACACTGCCCCTCAGCAGGGCGCTGCCGTTTGAACCCTCCTTTGCCTCCATAACAGAGACCCAGCATAAAACCGCCCCATGACCTCCACCTTCTGCTATGGGCTCCTGCAGCTGAGTAAATATTTTTCCTATCTTTTTGCCTGCATTCATGTTCAGTTACATACAATAATCTCTCCTTAATCAGCCATAAAGCAAGAAAAAAGGCAAAGCGCTGTTCACATAGTGTGGGCACACTGTCCTTGATTTCTCTGCGAAGACGGTTGATTGCGATCCTCCGTGGAGGAGAGGATGTTGAGGTGCGCAGCTTTGAGAGTGTGCACGGGCTCCTGAAGGTGGGAAGTGCTATGTAAGTGCTGAGCTATTCAGCTTCCCAGGCAAGAGGAGATGCTTATCTTATTCATCCCTCTTTTATTTGTAAAATCTTTTTGTCTCTTGGCAGGTGATCTTTTTTTTTTTCCTGAAAACCAATTAGCTACTAAAATTAAACATGCTTCTCTTTAAATTAATCCTTTTCATAAAACGGTCTTAAAATTGGCCTTGGCTTCTCAGTGTAAGTAGCTGACCCAGTTGTAATTAGAGATGCGTTTAGAGTCCCCCTTTCTCCCATCTCAGCCGGCGTTCCTCTGCCCTTCCCCCTGCTGCTGCCAGGTGCTGTCCACCTTCGGGCTCTCGGCCTGGCTGGCCTCATCTTGGCAAAGGTCAGAGGTCGGCTCTGGGACAGCCGTCAGATTATCTGGTTCTGCTGCCCAAGTGCACTGACGGCAACTGGTGGAGCTGTAATCACTGTAAATTCAGGTGACGGTCAGATGAGCCGGGAGAGAGGATGCCTGCTGGTTGTTTTGCAGTGATGTATTGTTTATGGGATTAATGTTCCGAATGGCCAAGGGTGTCAGCTGATATTTATTACTGTAAGCTGTCTCAGCTGTTCAGGTTCAGCAGCTAGATCCATGGCCACAGGAAATGTGGGACTCAGTGGCGTGTCCAGTATGGCTGATGTGTGCAAATGTAGCTGGGACCTGTGAGTCTGTGTCACAGATGCAGGGAAAAGGATTCATGGCAGCAGCCACCTTGGATTTTGTTCTGGGCTTCCGAGGGAACCCCACACACTCTTGAAGGTTGGGGAGACTCTAGGGAAGGGGAGAGTGTCCAGGTCTGGCTCCAAAGGGGGTTGGAAAGGAGGTCACCTCTGATAGGCCTGGCATCAGTAGGAATCGTGCCACCTGCCAGGTGGCTGTAGGCATTGTGTGGTTTTTACCTTGGTCCCTCTCCAGCCTTCTAAGAGAGGGTGTTTTCAAGGTCACTGTGCCTTTAAGGGAACCTTCTCCCCAGTCCCTCTGTATGCTGGTGCTTAAAGCTGTAAGAAGCGGGCCAGACCCTTTTAAACCTACCATTGGTGCTGCAGGGTGAGAAGTAAATGCACATCGCCCTGGTGTGTGACTCGTAACACACACTGTGGTGGGTTTGTTTTTCCAAAAAGAAATTTAATTTAACCCAAGTGTACACTGTCACACTGTAAACACACTGGGGCACCAGAAGGGTGGCTTACTGAATGTAATGGCCCAGCAAAGGTCAGCTTTTAGAAAAAGCCAAAAATGGCTGGAATCTGTCCTGATAGCTCCTCAGTCAGGCCTTGGATGCAGGCAGATGTGTTTATTTTTTCAGAGGGAGTTCCTGAGGACCCATCTCAAGTTCAGGCGCTGGGCATTCCCCCTCCCATCTCCCTCTTGTGCTCTAGGAGGCCTCCCTCCTCCTCCTCCTCCCCCTCCTGGGAGGTCACTGTCCCTGGTCACCCAGGTGGGCCCCTGAGACAAGCAAACTCCCTTGAGCTGGTGGTCTGGGAGGGAGGGTCAGGGACCCCCACTGCCTGCACCTCCAAGCTGGAGTGTGTGGTGCTTTTCTTACAACTAACACTGCCTTTCTCTGCCCATTTCCCTCAAAGGATGGCATGAACTGGGTCTGCAAAAATGTCAATGCAAAGAAGAAATAAAATCTAGACGAATGGAGACGCAGGAGCCGCGGGAGCCGAATTCGGTCCTGAAAAACACTAATTTGCTGCTTTCTGACCAAATGTTTTTCCATCTGTGTACAGCTACAGCTGTTTGAAGAGAGGGAACAGCACAGTTTAGAAAGAATCCCCATTCCAGCAGTAGATTTAACTGATCTCTGAGGTTCAGTATCATTTTTCAAATAAAGGAATTATATTATTTCCTCTGCATAATTGAAATAGTATTAAATGTCTCAAAGCACATGATTAGAAAATGAGATCTTTTAAATGAGCAAGAGATTGCATTGCAGTTTAGACAATTCCAGTGGGCTTTTTTTTTTTCTCTCAAAAAAAAAAAAAAAAAAAAAAAAAAAAATTTTTTTTTTTAAAAAAAAAAAAAAAAAAAAAAGAAAGAAAAAGAAGCAGCAGCAGCTTTGCTGAGTTCATTTATTTACTGACCCATCCCTTACATTCCCTCCATGGTTTAACCACAGACAGCGTTTGCTGGTGCTGGTTAGTGATTTTTACCATCACCAACCCAGCCAGGCTTCAGTCTGTCTGGCAGGAAGCTGCTGAGTGGGGGTGTTGGGGAGAAGGCAGATAATTAAATCATCTCGTCATCTTGCAGGTCGGAGACTACGTATGTAATCCTCACTCTTTGGACAGGAAAAAAAAAACCCCTTTCTTGCAAATAAGTCACTACAGAAACATACCCCATCCCTACCCGCCCCTGCCCCCACCCCAGCCAGCCACACAGAGAAGCAAATTCTTATGACTTTTGACTGTAATGACATCTGGAATGTAAGGAGAGGTGGGAGGTTTAATTCCAGAAAAATTACAAGGTCCTTAAAAAGCTCTCATATCGAGGGCTCAGGCTAGCGTAAACAGGCTTTCTCCAGCTCAGTGGAGCAGTGAGCAGCCGACTCTGAGATTAGCTGGCTTCTCCACGGCCATCCTATAGAAGGGATTTCTAAAGCTCAAAGAATTCTCTGTTTAAACGATCACAATAGGCCGCTGCTATCAGATTTTAGAAATAAATGCAGCTTTACCATGAACCTGCCCCACTGAGAAAAGCCAGGCAGATCGATTTTTAGAGCGATCGATTCCTACAGTGCTGGCAACTTGGTGGTGTGGGATGCTCCTGGGTGGAGAGGGTTTTCTGCTGGGGAGGACACGGGTGTGTGTGACGGCAGGAGTTGTGTCCAGGGAAGCCAGAGTCCCCCCAGCTGCTGGGCTCCTCTGCCTCTCTGCAGCAGAATGTCTGTCCTCTGTTGACTGATTGGAGAGGAATGGCAGAAGATTTCTCCTGCCCCTCATTGCAAAAAGAGCTTGTTTCCCTGAGCCTTCAGAAATCCTCAGCTTCAAACACAGGAAAACAGGCCAGAACATCACCCGGCTCCTGAATTAAACTCTGTTCTGGTGCCTGAGCTCAGGGGTTTTCAGAGAATGAATAAGAGACTGTACAGGGACTGGTGGGTCCCTGGGGGCCAGCTGCCTTCTCATCCTGGGAGGTGGCGCTTCCCAAGCCCACCAGGGCTTGTGAGCAGACTGAAGGGGCCACCGCAGCCCCTGGCCCTCAGTTCCCAGCTCTTTCTGGCTAAGAGCATACAGCAGAGACTGAGGCATAGCTAGTTTCAAAGGCGGTCTGGCGTGAAAGTCATTAACAAAGCCAGCCGTGAAAAGGTGTCCCGGAGTTGCTGTGGACAGACCTGTAAGGACTTGCAAAACAAAAGAAAGTGAGGTTTTTCTAAACCGCAGAGCTAGCTGCTCTCTGCAGCCTCCTCCACTGGCTTCTCTGGCTCACCCAACTCCTGCTCCTACTTTGAACAGAGGCAACACAGAATTATAAGGAATCAGAAATCCCCCTTCTACCTGGCTGCAAATGTGGCTCTAGCACTTGAAAATTGTTTTTCCTTCTGAATAGTTCATCAGGGACAAGTTAACTGAGGGGCAAAATGCCTGCTTGGAGGTCCACAATTTTGGAACACTGCAGAATGGAACTTTGACTCTGGCAGGGGATGGTCTGTAAAATATGTTTGTTCTTTTGCCACCAACTTAGGGAGTGTTTTAAAGAGCCCTCCCAAGGCCTCCGCTAGCAGGCAGAAGCCACTCCTCTGATAACGGCCTCTGTAAATGTTCCGATTTGCTCTTCAGCTGCAGAGACTCAGAGACATTGCAGATGTCACACGCTTTCATCTTCCCTTTGAGCCCTTTTGAACCCTCCCGGGGCTCTGGGGTAGATGAGAGAAGCCTGAAAAAGGCAGAGTTTGAAAGCTCCCATTTAAAAACAAAATGCTTTTAAAGTCCCCTTGCCTCTCCCCTGCCCACTCCTGCCCCCTGACCAGAAGACAGAATTTGAAGCCGGAAAGGGGAGACCCCTTTTCCCCTCCTCCCACCTCCAGTGAGTCTGAGTCAGACTTTTGCCCTGTGAACGATTGCATCTGAATGTGCGGGGCAGAGGGCTGGGGGCCAGAGGGCAGGCGAGGCCTGGGAGGGGCCGTGGTGTGTGCTCCAGCCAGTTGTGGGAAAAACTCGAGCCCTCCTCTCCTCCCGACCTAGCCCGTGTGGCTGCTTTTGGCTAGATTCCCTGCACCCTGTGCAATACACCCTTTCCCCTTCACTCTCCCTTGGTTACCATGGAAACAAGGGTGTCATTGATGTGGGCTGAGCTGGGGAACATGTCGGTGCACAGCTGAAAGTCAGCGATCATGCCGGCGGTTAGAAATGTGCCAGGGTTAAAGGAGTCCGCAGCTCCCACGGCTGCTGGGAGGACCCCGTCCTGCCCCCTTCCTCCCTCCCTCCGTCTCCACGCCTCTCTCCTGGCTTTTGACAAATTTCTTTATTCCCCTCTGGACTAAAGTAGTGGCTATTTTTGTGCCACTCTGCGCCCCACCCTCACTGTTGGCCGCTCCTTATCCGGCCTGGCCTGGAGGGTGACACCATGTCACCCTCACCAGGACTCGTCTCTCCATTCCCGTCAGAGTTTGCTTTGATTTCCCTTTCCTTTCCTTCTCGGGGACCAGTTCTTACTTCCTTTTATTTTTAGCTCTGCACTCCATGTGGTTTCAGGGTTCAGTCTGATCCATCAAAAGGTTCTTTTTTTATAATCCCTTTTGAAAATGATAATCAAAGGAAGAGACGTGGTGTTTGGTCATGTGGAAAACTCAATGTATAATTTAGACGTCTGTCAAAAATCCAACAAATAAAATTTAGCTGGAATGAAGGCAGCCTGGAATGTGTTGTGTTCTTTGCCGAAGCTCAGAGAGCCTGCAATGTGTTTGTCCTTTCAGGGGTTAGCTTTCTTCAAGAGGTTTTTTTCCAGAAGGATATAGATATATAATATAGGATGCCAACAACAGCAATAACAGTGGCCCTTCATTAAGCCTCTCCTACGTGCCGCACAGTCTAAATACAGAATTTGAAACCGGGAAGGGGAGACCCCTTTTCCCCTCCTCCCGCCATGGGGAGCGTTAGTCCCCTTTGCAGCGGAGGAAATTGAGACATTTGCCCCAGTTAAGGAATTTGCCTGAAATCACAGAGCCTTTAAGTGCAGGTGGGGCCTGGAACCTGCTTCTGAATGTTTAGCAAGCTGCCGCCTCTGGAGGAAAAAACAGTCAATGGCGTGGCCGGTCACACCTGTAATCCCAGCACTTTGGGAGGCCAAGGCAGGTAGATCACCTGAGGTCAAGAGTCTGAGAACAGCCTGGCCAACATGGTGAAACCCCATCTCTAGTAAAAATACAAAATTAGCCGGGCGTGGTGGCGCGGGCGCCTATAATCCCAGCTACTTGGGAGGCTGAGGCAACAGAATTGCTTGAACCTGGTAGGCGGAGATTGTAGTGAGCTAAGATGGCCCCATTGCACTCCAGCCTGGGAAACGAGTGAAACTCTGTCGCGCACACACACAAAAAAATCAATGGCCCGTCACCCAGCAGCCTCAGCCCCCTGCCTTCTCCCCTCATCCTCTGAGGAGCATTGCTCCCCTGGGTTCCCTGCCCCAGGTGTTGGGTGTCCTCTGCTCACACAGCACAACCATAGGCTGGGTTTCATCCTTGGCCAGGTCCGGCCCAGCAGACAGGAAAAGGGGAGAAGAAATAATTAGCAAAGTTAGGGCCTGCAGGGAGACTTGTAATTACTTAAGTACCTAAGACTGGATCTTCCATTTAAGGAGGGTTCTGAGAGGGAAAAGACCTGCCCAGTTACACAGAAGGTGGCAGGGTTGGCAGCAGTCCCAGGCTGTGCCTTCTGGGGCAGAAGAGTTCATTGTCCCTTCAGCAGACTAGAGACATAGCACAGCCAGTCCCAAAGGGCCTAACCATTTGTTCGTGTGTGCGTGTGCCTGTGTGTGTGTGTGTGTGTGTGTGTGTTGTGTTTCTGAGACAGGATTTCGCTCCGTCACCCAGGCTGGTGTACAGTAGCACAGTCACAACTCACTGCAGCCTCATCCCTCCCGGGCTCAAGCCATCCTCCCAACTCAGCCTCCCAAGTAGCTGGGACTACCGTTATGTGCCACCATGCCTGGCTAATTTGTTAATTTTTTGTAGAGATGGGGGTCTTACTGTGCTGCCCAGGCTGATCTCTAACTCCTGGACTCAGGGGATCTGCCCACCTCTGCCTCCCAAAGTGCTAGGATTACAGGTGTGAGCCACTGCGTCCAGCCTTTAAAGAGCAAGCTGTGGGCAGAACTAGCTGGTAGCTAGAAGCAGGAGAAAGAAGGCCTAGGGTTGCCAGATACATTATAGAACATTCAGTTAATCTTGAATTTCAGATAAACAAAGAATAGTTTTTAATTCAAGTATATCCCATATAATATCTGGGACATCAGTATAACACTCAGAAAACATGCATTGTTTATCTTAAATTCAAATTTAACTGACCATCCTGGCTTTTTGTTTTTGTTTTGATAAATCTGGCAACCCTTCCCAATGCTCCCTGCTCAAGAAAGGAACAGTGCAGTACAATGAAAAAGTGTGGCCAGCCTGGGCACAGTGGCTCACGCCTATAATCCCAGCACTTTGGGAGGCTGATGTGGGAGGATCACCTGAGGTTGGGAGTTCGAGACCGGCATGACCAACATGGAGAAACCTCGTCTCTACTAAAAATACAAAATTAGCCAGGCATGGTGGTGCATGCCTGTAACCCCAGCTACTAGGGAGGCTGAGGCAGGAGAATCACTTGAACCCGGGAGGCAGAGGTTGAGGTGAGCCAAGATATTTGCACTCCAGCCTGGGCAA